CCGCAGTCTCTGGTCATCCCTGTACTGTCCGCAGTCTCTGGTCATCTCCTGTACTTTCCGCAGTCTCTGGTCATCCCTGTACTGTCCGCAGTCTCTGGTCATCTCCTGTACTGTCCTCAGTCTCTGGTCATCTCCTGTACTGTCCGCAGTCTCTGGGTCATCTTCTGTACTGTTCGCAGTCTCTGGTCATCCCTGTACTGTGTCCGCAGTCTCTGGTCATCCCTGTACTGTGTCCGCAGTCTCTGGTCATCCCTGTACTGTCCGCAGTCTCTGGTCATCCCTGTACTGTGTCCGCAGTCTCTGGTCATCCCTGTACTGTCCGCAGTCTCTGGTCATCTCCTGTACTGTCCGCAGTCTCTGGTCATCTTCTGTACTGTTCGCAGTCTCTGGTCATCTTCTGTACTGTTCGCAGTCTCTGGTCATCTCCTGTACTGTGTCCGCAGTCTCTGGTCATCTCCTGTACTGTGTCCGCAGTCTCTGGTCATCTCCTGTACTGTGTCCGCAGTCTCTGGTCATCTCCTGTACTGTCCGCAGTCTCTGGTCATCTCCTGTACTGTCCGCAGTCTCTGGTCATCTCCTGTACTGTCCGCAGTCTCTGGTCATCTCCTGTACTTTCCGCAGTCACTGGTCATCCCTGTACTTTCCGCAGTCACTGGTCATCCCTGTACTGTGTCCGCAGTCTCTGGTCATCTCCTGTACTGTGTCCGCAGTCTCTGGTCATCCCTGTACTGTCCGCAGTCTCTGGTCATCTCCTGTACTTTCTGCAGTCTCTGGTCATCCCTGTACTGTCCGCAGTCTCTGGTCATCCCTGTACTGTGTCCGCAGTCTCTGGTCATCTCCTGTACTGTGTCCGCAGTCTCTGGTCATCCCTGTACTGTCCGCAGTCTCTGGTCATCCCTGTACTGTGTCCGCAGTCTCTGGTCATCCCTGTACTGTCCGCAGTCTCTGGTCATCTCCTGTACTGTCCGCAGTCTCTGGTCATCTCCTGTACTGTCCGCTGTCTCTGGTCATCTTCTGTACTGTTCGCAGTCTCTGGTCATCTCCTGTACTGTCCGCAGTCTCTGGTCATCCCTGTACTGTCCGCAGTCTCTGGTCATCTCCTGTACTTTCTGCAGTCTCTGGTCACCCTCCTGTACTGTCCGCAGTCACTGGTCATCCCTGTACTGTGTCCGCAGTCTCTGGTCATCTCCTGTACTGTGTCCGCAGTCTCTGGTCATCCCTGTACTGTCCGCAGTCTCTGGTCATCCCTGTACTGTGTCCGCAGTCTCTGGTCATCCCTGTACTGTCCGCAGTCTCTGGTCATCTCCTGTACTGTCCGCAGTCTCTGGTCATCTCCTGTACTGTCCGCTGTCTCTGGTCATCTTCTGTACTGTTCGCAGTCTCTGGTCATCTCCTGTACTGTCCGCAGTCTCTGGTCATCTCCTGTACTGTCCGCAGTCTCTGGTCATCCCTGTACTGTGTCCGCAGTCTCTGGGCATCCCTGTACTGTGTCTGCAGTCTCTGGGCATCCCTGTACTGTGTCCGCAGTCTCTGGTCATCCCTGTACTGTGTCCGCAGTCTCTGGTCATCCCTGTACTGTGTCCGCAGTCTCTGGTCATCCCTGTACTGTGTCCGCAGTCTCTGGTCATCTCTGTACTGTTAATTAGTTTGCACTACTGTACGAGTTGTTTTTTCTAAACCAAAAAGCTCGATATTCAGGTTTCATTGCAGTGTTGGCACTTTGAAAGAAATAAGTTGGTTTTGGGTTGCAGTTTGGGCACTCGGGCTCAAAAAGGTTCGCCATCACTGCTATAGGGCATTGCCACCATGTGTGACACAAAGTTCCCATTTGCCTGCATCGTCGTATGCCATGCTTTAAATATGTAGCTGGATGATTACCAAGCAAAGCTCTGGAGAAGTGGGAGGCGATGTAGGCGACCTAGATGATGGTCAACGAGAAGAGGCTTTACAATTCGCATTCTCTTAGTGCCCCCCAAAAACTTTCCCAGCTTTTACATTTTACTGCATATAAAATCATACCCCTATTAAAGTGTTACTAAACCCACCACAGTAAAATCAGTCAGAATATGCAGTAAAGCATGCTTGTTATACTCACTGTTGAACCTAAGGGTTTAATCCTCTGCATTGTGTAAAAAGGCAGTTTGATCCGGACTTCTTTGCTCTTCCTCTTGTTCAAATGTCCATGTCTTATCTTTTGATAAGACAGGCTGAACCGTAGCCATTCTGCACATGCTCAGTTTAGTGTGTACTGCTAGAGAGGTTTTATTTTCTTGGGAGAGTGCATGTGATCAGCACAGAGCCAATCAGCACTGTCCAGACAGAAGTCAGGGGTTTTGCATCCTCCTAGAGCAGTAAGAAAACTCCTACAAGCTTCAGCCAGTGCTCTGCTGAACACTGATAGAAGTCACAAGACTGCTCTAACTGCTAATGAGAAAACATATTTATTCAGTTTATATTTACTAAAATAATTGCACTTCCATGTTGTGTGTACTGTGGGAAACCAGATATAGTGAATGCAGGGTCCTGGGTTTAGTAACACTTTAATCTACATAAAATGTGCTTGATGTCAGACCCTGTCTGTGGCAAGCGTCAGCGACCATGGAAGATTGTCCTCTCCCCCTATTGACCTGTTATTTCATAGGCTGTCTTGATTTATTAAAAGTCATGCTTTCATTCAGTGATGTGACATTCGCTCTGTACCTGTTTGCTCAAAAATGGATTGGTAGCATTTCTGGCTTGTCATACACTGTGAACTGTTCTGTTCTCATATGTCATTTCTCTACCCTGGATTTGACTTTGTTTCAATAAACTTCGCTTAAAAAAAAAAAAGGAGTCTGTCAACATCAAATTAAATATTTCTATGTAATAAATGTGGTCTTGCAGCATCCATATTGAATAATTACCCACAAAGTCCAGGCACTATCAGGTGGTGTGCAGACTCCACTCATGACAAAGAAGGTCTCTATTTTTATTCTCTTTTTTTATTCCACTTTGTAAACTTTGGGGCTTTGCTGATTTTTTTAGTTTCTGCTAGATTTGTTTTCTTACATGATATCAATGGACCTCACTTTGCACACTTATCCCTGGCCTATATATATATCACATCCCCCTACTCTTTGTTTTCTTGACATATTACACTCACAAAAAGCATTAGATTCTATTGTCTTTACAATTTTTTTTGAGTTTACAAAACTCTTGTATACTTGCCAATAAAGAGAATGTACAGTTTTCAATGCTTTTTGGATAAAAATTTATGCTTGATAATGTTACTGGAGTGTAAATAATGTAAAAACCTTTTTTTTGCTTAGTTTGTTATTTATATGTGCAAGGGGGCAGCCTTATTCGTTCATTTCATACTTAGGCTCTGTGTTATGCTTTATACAACATTTCTACTTTACTGTTCCTTCATAGTCTACAAATCAAAAAACAAAAAAAAAAAACCCACTGCTTATGTGGCTGATAAAGGTGTTACTAAACCCACAACAGTAAAATCAGTCTGTATATGCAGTAAAGCATGCTTGTTATACTCACTGTGGAACCTTGGTGTATATTGCTAGAGGGTTTTTTTTTTTTTCTTGGGAGAGATCATGTGATCAGCACAGGGCAAATCAGCACTGTTCAGACAGAGGTCAGGGGTTCTGCATCCTCTTAGAGCAGAAAGAAAATTCCTCCTACAAAGTTTAACCAGTGCTCTGCTGAACACTGATAGAATTCACAAGACTGCTTAAACTGCTGATGGGAAAATGTATTTAGCAGTTTATATTTACCAAATAATTGCATTTCCATGTTGTGTGTTCTGTGGGAGAGCAGATATAGTGAATGCAGGGTCCTGGGTTTAGTAACAGTTTAAGCAGAGTGAGAACAAAAATATGCAACTAGTATCATTAACCCCTTGACGCCGACATCACACAAGTATGCGGCCTCACAGAACTGGGCTTTTTTCCGTGGGGCCGCATATTTGCTCAGCGCGCTCCCAGCACAAAGACCACAGTGTCACTGAGAGCCCCGGGTCACGTTCTAACGATCAGGACCCGGGACTCCTGATTCTGGGTCACATGATTGCTGTGATAGGCTCTGATTGGCTATCACAGTGATCAGTCACTGTGCAGCCCGGCCCCCTTGTTTTTTTTCTCTCTCTATGAATGGAGAAGAGAGATACATTGTATCTCTCTAAATCCTGGCATAGAGATAAAAAAATTTTATAAAAAAAAAAAAAAGATAAATAAATAAATATTACAAAATAAAATAAAAAATAAAGAAAAAATACCTAGATCAAGGTTTGATCTAGTTCAGTGCCAGGGTTATTGTTTGCGTCAAGGTCAGGATTTAAAAATAATTGGTATTAGTGTCAGTGTGTTTTGGGTAAAAAAAAAAAAGCGCTCTATTGTTTCTGGGCTGTACTACGGGTACAAACAACAAATAACATACACATTTATGATATCGCTGCGATCATCAGGAGCTGGAGAATTTATTTTGGGTTGTTCGTTGGTGGTAGGTTATGGTAGTAACAAGAAACACACAGCTAAATAAAAAAAATTATTTTTTTTTACTATTTGGGCCAGTTTTCCTTTGATAATAAAAAAGATCATGAGATATCCATTACCATTTATCACCAAATGAAAGCCCAATTTGTCCTGAAAAAAATGCGGTATTATTCACCTGGATGTACAAAGTTGTTGTGATATGTACAGTTTTACTAACACATGTCAACGTTGCAAAATTGTGCTTAGGCATTAAGATTTGTTTTAACCCTTAGGCGTGAAAAGGTTTTAAAACATGGGAAGGATTAAAAAAAAAAAAAAATACTTTATACTAAATATTGTAAAACTTACCTGATAAGGGGGATCATAAGCGGCCTGAAACATATCGGTACATATTGATAGTAAATATATTAAAGTCTTCAGTAAAGCATTTCCCTGGTGTGCAAAAGATGTTTGTTTATCCTTATTTTCCATAATGCACTTCTAATTTTATGTCTTTTTTCTCCCTCTCTCTTCTAGGCACCAATTTCACAACTCAACTTTAATTCACCTCCGCCACAGATACTTTATAACCCAGCACAACAGATCCTCCTGACGTACACTGGTTTCTGCTCTCCATCCTCCTCCCTTCCTTCCTATGCATCATATCCACTACCACTGCAGGTAACCTCAGATCATTGATGGTCTTTAGCAGGTGGATCCAAAAGGCAGTTTTTTGATGTTATATTTAAATCAGTCCATTAAATGGTTAATTTTATGTGCATCGTTCATTGCACTTTTTTCATAGTGTTGATTTTCAGCAGCCTGGTTGTCTTCAAATGTGTGTGTGTGTGTACTTATACAAAGAATGTAAGCTGGATATTTCAAGAAAATATTTTTAGCAATTTTGCCTTTTATTATGGCTAAGACTTAAACAAACATAAAAACAATATGTTGCGCTCCTTCTTTGAATATTAACTCAATACAAATTTCCAATAAATATATTAAAAAATCAATATTAATAAACTTGTAAAAAACAGAAAATCATGTGAAATCAAAATGTCATCCCGTGCTCATCATACAAAAAATATATAATATAAAAAATATAATATATATAAAAAAATTAATCAGTCTTCAATGAAAAAAATATATGTGACTTTTCCCAGTGAATCAAATCCAGGTAACTTCCTTAGTGAGTATAAGATGTGCGCTCACCTCCAGATTAGCCTGTAACAGGCTAATAACGCTTTTTGTCCACTCAATGGGACTGATGTTTGTTGCACCATATGAAGAGTGGTGGGTCCCTCTCAGGCTGCTTCCCGTCTCCTACTCCTGCTGGGATCTTACTCTTATACTGCTTATCTCCTGCTTTCCTTTCCTTGGCAGGTGCCCTCTCCAGATTAGCCTGTAAAAGGCTAATAACGCTTTTTGTCCACTCAATGGGACTGATGTTTGTTGCACCATATAAAGAGTGGTGGGTCCTTCTCAGGCTGATTCCCATCTCCTATTCCTGCTGGGATCTCCCTCTTATACTGCTCATCTCCTGCTTTCCTTTCCTTGGCAAGTGCCCTCAGTGGAAAGAAAATTGCCAAAAATGGTGCTTTTATCTTTTTTAAAAAACAGTGCTTTATTAAAGTACCAGTTGCACTCACATTTAAATAGTGTAAAAACCGCTTTTATATCACCAAACAATACATCAACAGCATCCCAAACACTGCCTGCCTTGTGTAGACCTGTCGTCCTCGAATAGCCAGTGACGTCGTAGCCCCTCCCCTACACGTTACGCCACTGGTCACGCGGGCTTCATCAGGGGTCGTCACCTGGAATTATTGATTTGATTCACTGGGAAGTCACATATATTTTTTTTTCATTGAAGACTGATTAATTTTTATATATATTATATTTTTTATATTATATATTTTTTTGTATGATGAGCACGGGATGACATTTTCACATGATTTTCTGTTTTTTACAAGTTTATTAATATTGATTTTTTTTATATATTTATTGGAAATTTGTATTTATTTAATATTCAAAGAAGGAGCGCAACATATTGTTTTTATGTTTTTTAATTATTTGCACATTTAATGAGGATGTGTTGTATGTTTGCGATCCTGTAATAGCAGTGAGTGGCTCGCAAGTTACATCTTTGTTTTTATAAGACTTAAACAAAAATATTTTTTTTTTTGTCAGGTAAATATCAAATTTTGCATAATAACCACTTCAGCCCTTATATCTTTATTCCATGCCATTATTAAACATAAAAAGCAAAACAAATTGTTTTGGGGATAGGCTATTAGAAATATTGAGGTTCATTTACTAATGGCAAATAGACTGTGCACATTGTAAGTGCAGTTGCTCCAGAGCTTTTGAGGGAAGCGCTGCTAATTTCCATCATCCAATCATGTGCAAGCAAAATTGGTGTTTTTTTTTCCTTTGAATGTGGTTGGTTATTCTTGGCAAAGTGAAGTTTCACCTTATGTACTAAGCTCTGGAGCAATCCCACTTGCAAAGTGTACAGTCTATTTGCCTTTAATAATTCCACCCCAGTGTCTTACAAAAATTAAATTTTCCATGTCATCTATAGACAAAAAGACATAAAAGTAAAAAATAGGATTTTTGAGGGATGGGTCCAGTGATGTCCTTCATATTTCACGGGTAAGTCAAAAATCCAATTTTCTTATTGTACATCACAAGACACAGGATTAGCTAAATTCTTAGATCACCGGGACACCCAAAAGCAATCAGGAGATGTGGGCAACAGTCCCAAGAACTCCAAACCAAAAAAATAAAAGAAGGAGAGATTCAGTTACAGGGCTAGCAGAAGGTCTTGCAGCCCAAGCTGGCATCTGCTGAGGCCTGAACATCCAACTGGTAAAAACTATCAAATATATTTACAGAAGACCAGGTGGCAGTCCTACAGTCCTGAGAAACAGAGACCTGATGCTGAAGGGCTCAAGAAGCCCTGAGGCAGGCCATACATTAAGCCATTTTCTCTGCTTCCATCACAGGTTGCAGGTAAGAAAATTACATTGTGCCAATGGGGGAATCCCTCCTGCGGAGCTTTTGTATTCTGACAGCAGCCGGCAGAATACAATGATCACTTCTGGCTGGTTGTACTGAAGTCGATCACGCAATCAACTTCAGTACAAATAGCCTGCCGATACAGTCTGTCTATGGCAGGGTTGAGACTTCTAGTAGAATGTGCTTGCACAATAAAAGGAGAAAACTAAGGTCTTAGGCTTAAGTGATTAGGAGATGAATCCACCTAGCAATGGTGGATTGAGAAGCGGACTGCCCCTCATAAGGGTCCTCAAGCTAAAAAGGGGGATGCAGACTGACAAATGGATGCTGTAGCAGAAAAGTAGTCTCTCACCTCTTGAACAACAGTTAAGAAATGAGGAGCAATTTTCCATAGGGTGTTTAGGACAGAAACATTGAAGGACAATGTCATGGTTAAGGTGTAAGGAGGAAATTACCTTTGTTTAAAAGGAGGTCCAAGGCCTCAGAGCAACCTTATCCCTATGTAACACAAGGAACTGTACCTTACAAAGCCAAAAGTTCAGAAACTCTGCAAACAGAAGTAATGGCAATGAGGAAGATCAATTTTTAAGGGCAGGGAGGCTTTCAGCAGCAGTTTCTGAAAACCAGCAAAACTATACTTAGGTTCCACAGAGTCAATGGAGTACACACAGAAAGAACAATGTGTACAACCCCCTGAGCAAACACTCTTCCTAGGAACGAGATGCAAAGAGGGCCTAGAAGAAGCTGAGAACTCATCCTTAGTAGTACTTAGGGCAAGGACTGATCCAAACAACTCCTGGAGAAAAACATCTATGCCTTGCCCCAAAGTATGTTTTCCAAGTGTGATGGTAGATCTTTCAGAAAGGTGACTTCCTAGTATTCAGAAGGGTAGGAATAAACAAATCCGAAAGACCTCCATCGTTTAGATCCTGGGTTTCCACAGCCATGAAGAAACAGGATTGTTCACAGGTCCTTGAGACAGCAAGTCCAGATAATCTGGGTGGGCCCAGGGAGTCCACCAGCAGCCTTATTATGTCCAAGCACCAAACCTAGGCCTCTGAACTGTACTTGAAAGACCAGTTATTTTTGTATATTTTTACCAATTTATTGAACAAAATAAAAAAAAAGTTTAAATATTAAGGTTAAAAAAAGAAGAAATAAAAAAAATCATCAAAAAATAATATCTAAAGGGGGGAGCAGAGGTAATTAGGGTTGATTAGGGTTAGCTAAGGGTTAATAAATAGGTTAATATAATAAGTAAATAGGAATACATTAAAAACAAGTGTAAGGTTTTTTTTTAACTGATGATCAAGGTAAAAAAATCTTATAACTTTAGAACCACTTTAAAAAGAGGGGCAAAGGAGTCCCTGGCAAACATCTGAAAAAAAGCCAACAACCCCACCTAATGACTGGATATAAAAATACAAAGAAAAATATATACAAAATCAAATTAATAGGCTTTTTTTTTAATTTAATGTTGCTACTTTTGATCTCTATTATAAACTACTATATAATAAAAGTACAATTAAAGTTTGGGACAAAGTCCTTCCAATCACCCTACCTAATCCTCTCAATGGAACCAGCAGGCCAGCCTTTACCCCGAGGCCTTTATTTACCTCCTCTTGTGCCATCTGAGAAAATCTAGTGCTGGGTTGTCAGTGCACTAACATTATATAGGCTTGAATTTGATGTGGTTCTTGATAGTATGTCCCATTCAAGTCTATGGTATGGTAATGTGAAGGCATAGGCACTGGCATCCCAGCTCTAAATTTATACTGGCCGGGCTGCAGCCATCAGAGAAAGTAGGGACCCAAAGGTGGGGGGCTGGACTTGAAACATGAACTTGCACTTTATCCTTCATAAATAGCATGTGTAAATTTATTGGTGCAACATATTCAGTAATAATATTTTTAAAGAAAATGCAATATTGTGTACAAGCATGTTTAATGTAAAATGTTGTTACTGTTTCACAGCCTTCAGGTTCGTATCCAGCAACTTCCTCTGCAGATATCTCATTATCAGATGACATTCCTCATCCACCCCACTCCAACTCTGTGAATGGATTGGCTTCAAATCTGCATTCACAGTACGACTCTAACATGGTCTTACCTGTTGAGAAGCCGCCTCCATATGTTCCTTAGGCTCAATGCTCTGATGCAAGGACCATGTGTAACTTGCAGGAAACCAAGGATTAAAAGGGCTTTCTGGAGAAAAAGTGAAACATTCCTTCCAACTTCCAAAATATACCAGGTGTAAACTTAATAGTCTAGACAACAGATTTACAATACAGTTTACTATGTGTTACTGGCTGCAGTGAGTCCTTTTGTGTGTGTGTGTTTTTTTTAACTGTCATTTTTATATTTAACTATTATTTTACAACATAATGTAGGTAAGGTGGATTATGAAATACAACAATCCACGTTGCTTGAAAATTCCAATATTGATTTGAGTAAGAAGTGTTTCCTATTTAATGGTACTATACTTTCACAAGTATTACATTCCTTAAAAGAATTTGATAGTCACGGCATACACTGTCATTTTAGAACATAATCATTGAAATAGCAATACAAACAATAGTCATTTTTGGAAATCCAATATAAGCTTACTTGAAAAATCTTTTTTCATGTTGTTATGGCTGCCTATCTGCTGATAATCACTTTCCACAAATTCCCAGACTTTGCAGCTTGTCCTCTGCTGTTTACTCTAAGGACTACATATCCCATGGTACCTTGCTGCCTGCAAGCAGTGATTCCTGTACTGATTTCATCTCCTGAAATTTCTCCTCTTAGCACCTCATAGTTCAGAAGGCAGGTTCTGTGACACAGCAGTGCCTGCCTACACAGATTCGTGAATACATGCCACAGAATTCAAGGATGTACAGGTGAAACTCAAAAAAATAGAATATCATGCAAAAGTTCATTTATTTCAGTAATGCAACTTAAAAGGTGAAACTAATATATGAGATAGACTCATTACATGCAAAGCAAGATAGTTCAAGCCGTGATTTGTCATAATTGTGATGATTATGGCTTACAGCTCATGAAAACCCCAAATCCACAATCTCAGAAAATTAGAATATTACATGCAATCAATAAAACAAGGATTGTACATAGAACAATATCGGACCTCTGAAAAGTATAAGCATGCATATGTACTCAGTACTTGGTTTGGGCCCCTTTTGCAGCAATTACTGCCTCAATGCAGCGTGGCATGGAAGCTATCAGCCTGTGGCATTGCTGAGGTGTTATGGAAGACCAGGATGCTTCAATAGCGGCCTTCAGCTCTTCTGCATTGTTCAGTCTCATGTCTCTCATCTTTCTCTTGGCAATGCCCCATAGATTCTCTATGGGGTTCAGGTCAGGCGAGTTTGCTGGCCAATCAAGCACAGTAATCCCACAGTCATTGAACCCGGTTTTGGTGCTTTACAGTGTGGACAGGTGCCAAGTCCTGCTGGAAGTCCAGCATCCCCATAAAGCTCATCTGCGGAAGGAAGCATGAAGTGCTCCAAAATCTCCTGGTAGGTGGCTGCGTTGACCCTGGACTTAATGAAGCACAGTGGACCAACACCAGCAGATGACATGGCTCCCCAAATCAATAGAGACTGTGGAAACTTCACACTGGACTTCAAGCATCTTGCAGTGTGTGCCTCTCCATTCTTCCTCCATACTCTGGGTCCTTGGTTTCCAAATGAGATGCAAAAGTTGCTCTCATCAGAAAAGAGGACTTTGGACCGCTGAGCAACAGACCAGGTCTGTTTTTCTTTAGCCCAGGTAAGACGCTTCTGACGTTGTTTGTTGTTCAGGAGCGGCTTGACAAGAGGAATACGACATTTGAAGCCCATGTCCAGGATCTGTGTGTGGTGGCTCTTGATGCACTGACTCCAGCCTCAGTCCACTCCTTGTTTAAGTCCCCAACACTTTTGAATGGCCTTTTCCTGACAATTCTCTCCAGGCTGCGGTCATCCCTGCTGCTTGTGCACCTTTTTCTTCCACACTTTTTCCTTCCACGTAACTTTCTATTAATGTGCTTTGATACAGCACTTTGGGAACATCCAACTTCTTTTGCAATTACCTTTTGAGGCTTTCCCTCCTTATGGAGGGTGTCAATGATGGTTTTCTGCACAACTGGCAGGTCAGCAGTCTTTCCCATGATTGTGATTCCTACTGAACCAGACTGAGAGACTATTTAAAGGTTCAGGAACCCTTTGCAGGTGTTATGGCTTAATTACCTGATTAGAGTGGGACACTTTGAGCCTAGAATATTGCACATTTCACAATATTCTAATTTTCTGAGATTGTGGATTTGGGGTTTTCATGAGCTGTAAGCCATAATCATCACAATTATGACAAATCACGGCTTGAACTATCTTGCTTTGCATGTAATGAGTCTATCTCATATATTAGTTTCACCTTTTAAGTTGCATTACTGAAACAAATGAACTTTTGCACGATATTCTAATTTTTCGAGTTTCACCTGTAGATTGCAAACTTCAAGATCTTTCAGATTAATAGGAGTAAGCTAGAAATAACTGAAATACAATATTGAAATGAATATATGATATTAAATCTGGACCACAGATAAACTGTAACCACTTGCCCTCCAGAAGATTTACCCCCCTTCCTGACCAGGCCATTTTTTGTTTTACGGCGCTGCGTTATTCTGACAATTGCACAGTCGTGCAACGCTGCACCCAAATGAAATTTACGTCCTTTTTTTTCCCCCACGAATAGAGCTTTCTTTCAGTGGTATTTGATCACCTCTGCATTTTTTATCTTTTGTTCTATAAAAAAAAAAAAAAAAAAAAAAAAAGACTGACAATTTTGATAAAGAAACAATATTTTTGACGTTTTGCTATTAAACATGTCGAGTAAAAAAAATTTTACAAATCAAATTTCATCATAAATTTAGGCCAAAATGTATTCTGCTACATGTCTTTGCTAAAAAAAAATCCCAATACCTGTAAATTAATTGGTTTACATGAAAGTTATAGCATTTACAAATGGCGATATATATACTGGGATGTTTAAAAATATTTTTACTAGTAATGGTGACGATAAGCAACTTATAGCGGGACTGCGGGGGGGCATTCTGACACTGGTGGGAACTGACTTGGTGTCACTGACATCCCCAGTGACACCAAGACAGTGATCAGTACTAATAAAAAGCGCTGACACTGTACTAATGGCACTGGGCAGGAAGGGGTTAACATGTGGGGTGATCAAAGGGTTAACTGTGTGCTGTGTTAGTGCTTTCAACTGTAAGCACACTGCTATGTATGGCTGTGCTATGCACAGCCATACAAAGCAGTGTGCAGGAGCTGACAGGGGAAAGAACTGTATTGTTTACATACACTTCTCTCCCTCTGTGGGTAATGCTCGGCGATCACTGGGTGCTGGCGAGTAATCACCAGCCGGGACCCAGTGATTGACAGCCAAGGCCATGAACAGTGGCGCGGGTAGGGTTCACGTGCGCCCCCTATGCGGAGATGCAAAATCACGTATATGTACATTTGATTTTGCACACCCCTGCCGCCCTGTAGCAGTATACAGTGAAGGAAATAAGTATTTGCTCCCCTGCTGATTTTGAATGTTTGCCCACTCACAAAGAAATGATCAGTCTAAAAATAGAATGGTAGGTGTATTGTAACACTGAGAGACAGAATAGCAACAAAAAATTCTAAAGAAATACATGTCTAACAAATGATGCACTGATTTGCATGTTCATGAGGGAAATAAGTATTTGAACCCCTTCACAAAACATGACTTAGTACTTGCTGGCAAATCCCTTGTTGGCAATCACAGAGGTCAGACGTTTCCTGTAGTTGGCCACCAGGTTTGCACACATCTCAGGAGGGATTTTGGCCCACTCCTCTTGGCAGATCCTCCCCAAGTCATTAAGGTTTGGTGGCTGATGTTTGGCAACTCGAACTTTCAGCTCCCTCCACAGATTTTCAATCAGATTAAGGTCTGGAGACTGGCTAGGCCATTCCAAGACCTTAATGTGCTTCTTCTTGAGCCACTCCTTTGTTGCCTTGGTTGTGCGTTTTGGGTCATTGTCATGCTGGAACACCCATCCACGACCTATTTTCAATGAACTGGCTGAGGGAAGAAGGTTCTCACCCAAGATTTGACGGTACATTGCCCCGTCCATCGTCCTTTTTATGCGGTGCAGTTGTCCTGTCCCCTTAGCAGAAAAACACCCCCAAAGCAGAATGTTTCCACCACCAAGTTTGACAGTTGGGATGGTTTTCTTGGGGTCATAGGCAGCATTCCTCCTCTTCCAAACATGGCGAGTTGAGTTGATGCCAAAGAGCTCGATTTTGGTTTCATCTGACCACAACACTTTCAACCAGTCCTCCTCTGCATCATTCAGATGTTCAGTGGCAAACTTCAGAAGGACCTGGATATGTGCTTTCTTGAGCAGAGGGACCTTGTGCGCACTGCAGGATTTCAATCCTTGTCAGCCTAGTGTGTTACCAATTGTTTTCTTGCTGACTGTGGTCCCAGCTGCCTGGAGATCATTGACAAGATCCCCACATGTAGTTCTGGGATGATTCCTCACTGTTCTCATGATCATCGACACTCCAGAAGGTGAGATCTTGCATGGTGCACCAGACCTAGGGAGACTGACAGTTGTTTTGTGTTTCTTCCATTTGCGAATGATTGCACCGTTATCACCTTCTCACCAAGCTGCTTGGCGATAGTTTGGTAGCCCAGTCCAGCCTTTTGTAGGTCTACAATCTTGTCTGTGACATCCTTGGACAGCTATTTGGTCTTTGCTATGGTGGAGAGTTTGGTATCTGATTGTTTGATTGCTCCTGTGGACAGGTGTCTTTTATACAAGTAACAAAATGAGATTAGCAGCACTCCTTTTAAGAGACTGCTTCTAATCTCAGCTTGTTTTCTGTATGAAAGACACCTGGTAGCCAGAAATCCTGCTGAATGATAGAGGATCAAATACTTATTTCCCTCATGAACATGCAAATCAGTGCATAATTTGTTGGAGAATAACA